TTAAAAATCTTATCTATTTGTTAATATGCAGGCTACACTGACATCCATATCCAACAGATATAAGTACCAAGCTCAGAAAAGCATATGGCTTCTCCATTTTCCACTGTTCTATCATTGTTTAGCTTTGTTTATTATGCACAGCCCTCTAGTAGAAAATGGTAACTCATGCTTCTAGATTCTATGGTGAAATTCAAATCCTGGACCTGGAGGTTTCCTAGCCTGGAAGGATTGTGATTTCTGAAAATTTTGGCAAATTACTTTTCAGGATAAAGACAGGTATCACAGATAGATTAATACAATGCCTGGTTCCTTGAGCACTTGCCTTTTTATTAACATGAAACTAAAGGGAAAGAACTATTGTTAACTAAAGTTATCATTTAGTTATTGGCTTGAGCATGTCTGTCATTTGTGTTTGAGTATTTTAGTGTCAGTCTCTGCATATCAGAAACTCTTGTTCCACTTTTTGATTAACTTGGTCTTTTGTACTCTGTGATCTCATATAAATATATGAAATTTGAGATAAAATCCTCTTACTCATTCCGTAGCAGTTATAAGTGAGTTCACTTTATTGGGAAAGAAATTTAAATTTTAACAGAAGTTTTTCTATGCTTCAAGGCAAAGAGTTTTCCAACAGTGGGGATTTTAAGCATTTTGGCAAGTCAGTAGGAGAGAGATTTTCAACCAGCATGATTCTATTTGGCTCAGGTAAAAGTAAATCCTTCTGGGCTGACTTGCAGGTGGGTTCTTGAATCTTGGCCTATTTCAAAAACTGTTGCCTGTTCTTAATAAGTGCCATGATGTAAGGAGCCATGAACAAGCATGGTTTAAACCTATCCTATCAATAATCTTCCTCATAAGCTCTTGGCAAATATGTTTGTTGTCTGCCATCTCCTTCTGAAGGTTTCCATTTAGCTCAACATCAGCCAACCATATGATACCAGGTCCACATGATTAAGCTGATTTGGTAACAATTTGCATAAGAATTTACAATTTCTTATGTAAAGAATTGGAAGAAGAAAATCACACGCATGTGTGCATGCACACACCCCAAGTTTTGTTTTAATGAAAAAAAAGTAGGGGCAAGAAATAAGCCTTCTGGCCTGTAGCAATTAATTTGTAGAAGGTGCTGCATGTCTTATACATATGTAAACTGTCAATTAAAATTGCTCATATTCTTAGTAGTTCTGTCTTTCTATGGCTCGCTGACTCTTTTTCCTTGCCCCTTCCCATTGCCATTGATTGCACTGGATTTATTCCAAGATCTATGTATCTGTCCATCCAAACTTTTACTACCTGTCCAACTTTCTTTGTTGAATCACAAGCATTTGAAGGCAATACAGACTGTCTTATATCTTGTAAATGGTCTCAAGTTAATTCTTAATAATGACAATATGCTATTATTACTAGTTACTATAGATGCCGTGATGCCTTTAAAAAAACAAAACAAAACAAAACATGTAACAGGGCATTTTTTGTAGAAGTATTTAATGAGAGTACTTACCAGATGACTGCATACTAAATTCTTTACACATGTTTATGTCTTTTATTTCCCACAAATCTGTGAAGTGGGAATTATGAACACATTTTAGAAACTAGAACTCTGGCTACATAACTTGCCAAGGTACATAGCTAATGAATAGTAGAGTCAGAATTCAAACTCTCTCATCCAAGAGTCCTCCCCCATGAAATGTGTTTGTATACTTTGCACATTTTCCACTACTTATGTAAAAATAGAACTTGACCTGTATCATTGCGTCACTTAGAAAAGAACACACTTTAGAAGATTAGTTAGCATGTTAGGTCATTTGAAAATAGGTGGCTTGCTTATCTGTATCCTAGACTAATAATACTCTTGAGCTTCATTACATCTGGTCAGCTAAAAGAAACAGGGAAGGATAGAAGATGCTTGGTATTTCAGTGATGAGAGTGATGGATTATAATGTGAATTCACAGCTTGGGTTATTAGAGCCAGGTGAGTGGGTAAGTGGATTGAGATTCATCAAAATCAGCGGACCTAGCTTGGGGCCCTCCCTTCCCAAACTCCTTAGGCTGAACATTACCTTTTAGTAGCATATTTTCCCCTGTAGAGTTACCCTTGATAGTCATCTCAACCACATCTACATGAATAAACATGTGCAAAGAAGAGGACAGATGCCCTTCCCTTCCATCTTGACTCCTGTTGTGTCAAACAGTGTTGTGTATTAAATCACTAGCCTGGTCTATAGAGCCTAACACTGTCCTGTCCAACAGGACTTTTTATGGTGAGGGAAATGCTCCATGTCTGTACTGTCCAATGGGGTAACCTCCTGTCATGTGTGGCTGAAATACTGCAGACTTCAAATATGGCTAAACAGAAGAACAGAATTTTAAGCTTATTTAATTCTACATAATTTAAGCTGAAATTTAGGTCACTTTGAGGTTAGTGGCTATGTTATTGGACAGTACGAGTCTGAAATTTTAACCTGGAGTTGGACCTTAGAGTTCATAAAAGGCAATACATTCATTTTATTTTAGAAGAATCTAGGACCAGAATGTGAAAACTGATAAAACAAGCCTGGAATCTTGGTCTCTTTACTCCTCATCCATTGTTTATTCCAATGTAACTGAAAAATGGTTCTAAATGTTCTCTTGAACTTCAGAATTTTAGGATTATTGCTTATAAAAAAAGCATTGCAACAGAAAATAAATTACTAAATTAGTCATATGCTGACATGTTTACACATTTGCTAGATTGAAAGTAAAGTTTTATTCTCATCTTTTTTTTTTCTTCTGTTAATTCCTCTTTCCAAAATTGTAGGGTAGTTTCTTCTTAAAAATGAACTGAGTGTCTTTCAGATGTATTTGAGCCATCTGTGTTTTATGTGAAATGTGTTTGTATACTTTGCACATTTTCCATTGGTGTATTTTTTTTCTTATTTACTTAAAGGAATTTTATATATAAGGTGAAGAGTTATACTTTCTTTGTGTTTTTTTCAGACATTCAGATATTTTAAGTATATAAAAGTATGTGTTCTTTCTTTTTAAGAAAATGATACAATGTCATATACATGGCTCTGTACATTTCTTTCTTTCATTAAACAGTATTTCTTGGGAATCTTTCCCTGTACATTCTTTTTTTCACTGAACAGTATATCTTGGGCATCTTTCCCAGTGAGTACATAATTTACTTTTTTTATTTTACTTGATACTTTTTAGTTATACATAATACTAGAATTCATTTTGACATAATTTTAAAAGCATGGAATATAATTTGCTCTGATTCAGTCCCCAGCCCTTTCCTTCCCCTCTTCCCCCTCTTCCCTCAACAAATTTTACTCTTAAGCAAGTGCACAGAAATCCATTGTACACACCCACCATAGTTTATTTCTCCTACTGATGGGCATTTACTTTTTCCCCATATTTTATCATCTTAAAAGTAAAGTTTCACAGAATAACCTTGCATTTATTATTTTTATATGTGCAAATATAATGTAGGATAATTCCTAGGGACGAAATACTAGGTCAAATGATGTGCATGCATTTTTAATTTTGATAAATGTTATAACTTGCTCTCCATAGAGGTCACATCATTTTACATAACCAACAATCTATAATCTCTATACCCTCATCAACACAGTGTGTGATCAAATTAATTGATCCTTACTTTTCTGATAGGTGAACAAAATCTCAATGTTGTTTAAATTTACACTTTTATTATTATAAGGGAGCATATTTCATGTGTATAAGAGTCATTTGTGTGTCATTTTAAGTCAAATGTGTTTGTTTACTTTGTCCATTTTACATAACTATTTTTTCTTACTAACTTAGCTTTTAGGGCAAAAAATACTATAAAATAATTACTTTATTTTATAGTGTATATATATATATATATATATATATATATATATATATATATATATAATTACTTTAATGAATTTGAAATTGAACCTAAATATGTATAAATATGTATGACTCAAACATTCTTTTTCAAGCAATCCATCCATTCTCCATTTGCTTGAGATTGCACCTTTATCACATGTAGAATTTTAATTAACCTTTAAATCTGTATCTTGCTTTGTAGTCTGACCTGAGGAATCTGTCTGGTATCACTTGTTCTAATTAGTTTAGATTTATAGTATATTTTAATTTATTGTAGGACTATTCCTCTATCAATATATTTCTTTTTCAAACTGTTCTTCACTGTGCTTGCCTGTTTATATTTCCTTATAAAATTGCATTCATCTTGTCTCTTTCTAAAATAATTTCTCTTGGTATTCTAATATGATTATGTTAAATTTCAAGATTGATCTAGAGTCATCTAAATGGCATGATCTTTCTATATGGTAACATTGTATGTCTTTCTGTTTGTTTAGCATTTGTTTCTTCTGAGAGTATTCTACGATTTAACTCCAATAAATATTACACAATTAGTTTATTTCTGCATGGTTCTTTGTGTGCCTTTGAAATGAGGTCTTTGTTTTTATATAAGAAGGTTGTTGACACATGTATGTTAACTTTGAACTTTCCTAAATTCTCTTATTTTTTAAAAAATAGTTTAGGGCTAGGGATGTAGCTCAGTGATAGAGCACTTGCCTAGCCTTCATGGGGCCTGAGGTTTGATCCTAGCACTGAAAAAAAAAAAAAAATGATAATAATAATAGCAGTTGATGCTCATGTTTTCCAAGGACTCAAGAATGGATTAACAAATTTTTTTTATTTTATATCTTTCTTTTTAACTTTTAAGTCTTTAATTTCAACATAAGATTTAATTATATTCATTACTTCCTCCAGAATTAAACTACCATAGAATTTTTGGCAACTTTTTTTCCCCCTCGTCATCAAAATTGGAAAAAGTCTATATTTTCCCCCAGAAGCATAATTCTGGCATGTAGATGGAGATATAAATATTTTATTGTGTGGTTTTGTCTGGAATGATTTTGAATTTCATCAAATATTATCATTTGTGATAATGATTTTATGGTCTTCATAGGCTTATTAATAGTATGAGTTAAATTATTATTTTACCCTTATCATTTTAAAAGACTTATTGTTTTAGCTTTTATTCACTCTGGTTTTATTCTTTGCTCACTGTTCTTTTCTAGCTGTTGTCATATATAAGAGTCCCAGATTTATAGTAATCCTACTATGAATTCAGTGATACCTTCTTTACCTTGAGTTAAAGCAAATGTGCCCATCAAAAGAGCAAAGTGTCCAATGATAATAGCTGGAAATTGAGTCACAAATAAATGGAAAATGGTTTCTTCATTGCTATTTGTGTGTATGTGCTGTGTGCTGCTTTTTTCTCCAAAGGAGTAGACTGTTATTCCACGTTATGGAGTTGTGCTATTGTGAAATTCTCCAGTGATGGAAAAGGAGAATAATGTCTACTAAACCTGCTAGAATATGAGGCAAGGGGATCTTTTTCTGTGCCCAAGTCAGAAAACTGTTTCCCTTCTCCTATTTTAGAGCAATGTGTTTTATATCACAGAGTAACTTACTGTCTTCTCAAATGTTTATCTCCAAATTACATTTTATATTCTAGTCACTCACAAGATGAAAACAGGAAATGTATTTGAGGAAAGGCAAAATGTCAGCGTGTCTAGAACATAGAAATACTTGGTGAAGAACTTTTGGCTTTCTTTTTGGCTCTGCCTACAGCCAGTCAGTGTCACTCACTGTGTTCAGGTCTCTCATTAGTCAAACAGGGTGGCTGGGCATTTCCTGTGAAATTGCCAGTGTGAGATTGTGACCCTCAGGGGAGAGATCCAGGAGGAGAAGGAACCAGACAGCTGGCCTCTGGGAGCCACCAGATGGGAGCAAATTCCCAAGGCCGATGTGAAGAACTGTCTAGAATGACACAGTTGTTTAGTGGAGGAGCCCTCCCTCTAAAGCCAAATGTTCTGTGTGTCCCTGCAAGCAGAGCAAATGAGTACACACTGTGTTCATGTTGAAAAGGACAAATGACTGTACAAATAGAGTAATAAACAATTTAAGAAAATATATGTAGCCTAAATTTAGTATCAAGGCAGTAGGCAAAATGACTTACTCCAATTTGTGATGGTCCTGTTGCAAAAGCAGTGGCAAAGCCAGTTAGACCCTAATCATGGAATATAGCCAACGTATCAGTGGAGATGGCGCAAGTGCAGGCTTTTCAAATAAGATAAATCATCTGTGAAGAAGGAAAAGGTCAATGTAATATTCTTTCCCTGTCTCTCTGTCTCTCTCTCTCATCTGAATTAAATGGAAACATTAAAATTCCTTCCAAGACAAGAAAAATCAGCACATAAGATAATGCAGTCTCCTTCCTACCCAGCCAAGTCTGACTGCATTCCACCTGAGCCTTGCCTTGGTCTTTTTTATTTTCATCCTAGAATAATTTGGCTACTTTGTAGAAAATCAGAAGTCTAATGCTAACCTCACACCATTTAGTCATGCATACCTGAGCCATTATCTTCTGCCCCGGATGACATAGAAGATTGGTTTTTCCATCTTTCAGATCGAACATGGTGAGTGCACACACCACACACATACACACATACTCATACTCTTTTCTCACAGTTGAGGTTACGTATATGCTATCTGTGAGCATCCTTCAATCATTCAGTATCTGTGGAACACCTAATAATTTTGTATCACATTGCTTGGTGTGTGTAGGATACAGACAAGAAGAGGAAAGGGAAAAGACCCTAAGTGGAGTGGTTGAGAGGAGACATGCTTTCAGTTTCCATGCAGTATGTATTTCTTAACTTTGACCTATACTTTATTCTTACATTTATTTTGGTTTAGCATCTATTCATTCATTTATACAGGGGTGTATTTTCCATGAATATTTTGGAATGCCTCCTATGTGCCAGGCATTGTGATAGATTACAGAGGTGTGGAAACAAATTAGAATCCTTCTCTCCAGGAGCTTTCAATGTTTATATTTATTTGCAATAAAGGTTTAAAGATACTAGCATTTGCCTGCCTAGGGTGTAGTTGGATCACAAAAGAAGGAACATCGTTTCTGTTGCTAAGGGTTGAGATTTGCATTACTGAAAAGAGATCATTAAACAGTTTTGAAAGATGAGTAAGTACCATATTTGTCAGGGAGGCAAGAATGGGGGGCATTTTAGGGAAACACAGAAGATGCATAGAAAGCCATGGAGATTTTAGGGAACTTCTATAATGTAGTGGAGGGATGGATCTTTTAAAAGAGTCCAGGCTGGAGAAGTACAAAGTACTAGATCATGGAGACCCTTGCATACCATTGTGAAGAATTGGGACTTTAACCTGTGCACATCAAGAAACCATGAACAGAATTTGTACCATAGCAAAGATTTATTTCTGACAGAAATGTGGAAAACATGAATTAAGATAGGGATCTCAATTGCTTGGCTGTTTTGAGGGTGTGATCCATAGATAAAAGACAAAGACAAAACTCAAACCAGGAGAATAGACCATAAAAAGAATGCCAACCTATTATATTCAGCAACTTATGGTTTAGTCAACATTTAAGAAAAAACAGACCTACAATATTAATAAAATAAGGTGTTAGACACTCATCCCTTAAATTTCATGTATAAGAGGAATGCTTTATTTTATTAAGTAAATTAATTTCTGATTTAAAAATTCATACTAATTACAAATTGCAAATCATTCAAGGAATCATGATCCTTTCTCAGTCTCTTTACATTGCAAAATTTAGAGAGTGACCACACATATAGAGGATGTCAGGGCTCCAGAGGATTTCAGAGACTATCTTCATCAGTGATTTTTAAGATAAAATCATTGTCCATGTCTTCTAGCAGAAGCTTCCCTGGGAGCCCCAATATGCACGGAAGTGTTAGAGGTGGACACAGGCTATGCCCTCTGCCAACATTCCTCATTATTCTGCCCAGCTCTGAATTACACTGGCACAATTATAAAACTTAGCTTGGCAGACCTTCTTATTTCACTGGGGGCACAAAGGATAACAGAATGGGAGAGACTGAATCACCCAAGGAGGCATGACTAACTGGTTAGTTAATGGTAGAAGAAAGGATTCCAGGTCATCCTGATTTTTTTAATCAATTTTGATTAATGACTTACGGTTACTATCATTAAGGATTTGTTTTCTCTCCTCTTTTTATTCTAAATGAACATGCAGCGAGTTGACTGGAAGGAGTGAGCTCAGTTACACCCAATGCCTCCATTTTTTCTCATTGATTAATCCTTTCATTTCAGTTGTGGGAACCTCAAGACTATGGGTTCATAACCTCTTCCACTAATCATTTTCTGACCATATTTTCCCTACCCATCTCTGCTTTCTGTACTTTTATCCTAACACATATTACTCTAAGTAATCATTGCTAGTTTGTTGTTTTTCCTCACTAGACTGAGTGCTTTAGGCCAGGAAACATGTCTTTTTATCCATAGCATCTGGCACAATCCATGATATGCAGTAAAACAATATAAAATTGTTTAATAAATAATCAGATAAAGATATGCCTCTAACTTTGGCATTGGGATAACATAAATGGGGGAATTTACCTTTTGTGCTTGTCCCCTGCTTTGTCAGGAACACTTTTACCATCTACTAGTGGACCTGCTTCTACCTTAGGTGACAGTCTTACCAAACCATGGATTTCAAAGGATATCCCAGACACTGTGAAATGACTTCAAGACACAAAATTATCTGTCCTGAAATAATCTACTATAAACCATTATTAGCACAGAGATTGAGCAAAGTATAAAGTCTTTTTTTCCCCCTAGATCAGCATTCAGAATTAGGGTTTGGACATAGTAGGACACCTGTGTTCTCACAGCTGTTAAAAAGAAGAAAAACTTTCATATTGAATTTCATTGAACCTTGCAGCCAGCCTCAGTTCCATTAATTTTCATATACAGGAACAATGTAACATGATTACTCACCAGCCACAGAGATAGTGGTTTTATAAATCTTATGTGGTAGTTGCTGAAAGAGATAGGGTTGTGCTCCCATTGTCAATACTATCCAAAATTCACCTTGGAAATGAGTGGCTTTGGCTTTTGATACCAGCTGAATGTATATTGGGTCACTAGATGTCACTTGGATTAACATTTCTCTAATTTTCAGATCATCTGATGAGAAAGCAGTAAGTTTTCCTCACTCTGGTGGTAGCCTGCCTCTTTCCTAGAGATGGCTCTTTTAATAAGGGAAGTTGGCCTCACTCTGTTATTTATGGAAGTGCACCCATGCCTGGTGCTTTCTGATGGCTTGGTTGCTTAATCCTGTTTGATTTAGTCCTATAGTGTTTGGGAGAGGTCATGGACAGTAGCTTCATTGATGTGAGTCACATTCAAATTGCTAACAACCTGATTATGTATATGACATTAATGAAGGAAAACCTTTTATTCCTGACCTCTAGTCACTCTTCCTCTTCAGTGTCTATTGATGATGCTGTGATCTTCATAGTTTAAATTATCATTAATAAAAGGAAACTCATACTGTTACTGGTATGTGTGTGAATAGCCTATGGGGGATTGGTTCTGGTTTTAGTTTTATACTTTTTTTTTTTTTTAGATAGGGTCTTGCTAATTTGCTAAGGCTAACCTTAAACTTGTGATCCTCCTGACTCTGTCTCCCAAGTCATTGGGAATACAGGTAGGTGGCACCAGTTCCAGATCAGTTTTATACTTTTGTAGGTCACCATTAATGTAGTGGATATACTCTTTTGTTGAGTATCCAACTCTAGGGCTTCATTTACAGAAATGGGCTTCATTTACAGGAAACGTTGGCAACAGTAAAGAGTATTATGTATATTAACTCATTTAATGCTCCCAACTAACCTGGACTACTTGAGAGATTAAGTAACTTGCTTGACGTTACAGACTTGGGAAATAGAAACCCAGATCCTAATCCAGCTGGCCTGGCTTCCAGTCTTGAGCTATGCTCCATGATAGCATGCTGACCATGGGTGGAACGAGAACAGGGTCCTCTGCGGGTTCCGATGATTCTCTTTTAAAACTGTCTCATCTCAGAAGTTAGCATCTTAGTCAGCAGGCTTATTACCCCAGAAGGTCCTGTGACTCTGCCTTGCACTCTGTAGGCAGCTGTCTGGTGTCTTTCTTGGCTTCTGGAGGTGGCAAGTTCCTCTCCTCATCAGCCACCTCTAAGAGGTAGGGATGATGGCAGGATTTTCCTGCGAAAGAGAAACTCCACAAGGAGGAGATGGTTGTATTATGCTCAGTCTAACACAACTAAAAGACACCAAGGGAGCTCCTGAACCCGATTGCCCAACATGATCTTACTTTAGTTTCATTATCAATGTTTTTCTGCTGTTCCTTTGAGTTTCAGCTTATCCATCTGTGAATGGAGATAAGAAAATCTACCTCCAAAAGGTCATTATAAGAATTAAATGATATCAAATTTTAAAAGTACTTCTGTAGAATCTGGCACATTCCAAGGGTTTGATGAATGTATTTTTTCCTTTGCCTTATCCAAAGGAGTTTCTGAAAAGAAAATTGAGAGTGAGTTTTGGGGATTTTTTTTAAAAAAACAGGTTAAAAAGGCCAAGGCTTCTGTGGATTCTCTCCTCACCTGTCTCTCCTTAGAAGTCTTTTCATTTGAGAACTGCTTGTTTTTTTATGGTTGCATAAATGTATTAAATTTCTGGTATGTTAGGTGTAATTCTATCAGTAGTCTCCAGGTTCAAACCCTTTTAGGAAAATCCTTCCATAAAGAGGTTGTTCTTCTTTTTAAGTATATTATTTATTAACTTACTTCTCCTGATATAGTAAAATGGATCCTCTCTACATATTACACCACTTTCAACTGAGGGTGTCCTAGCTGTCATCATTATGGTTCAGTTCATCCCATTTGGGACTCCAGTAATCCATTAAATGTTTATTAATTTTGGAATTTTAAGAATAGGCTTTTGCAAGTGGTTGCAGTCTGGTTTTGAAGCAAGGAGAAAATGCTCTATTTGTTAGCCCCTGGTTAGCAGAGGTGAATAAAGACCATAGACCTAAAAGACTGTGTGTTTTTTTTTTAAATTCTTTTGTCAGGAAAGTCACTTTGCTCCTAATTAGAAGATTAGAATCTCTTTAATTGCATTCTGACCAGAGACTTTGGGGGTTCAATTTGGGAACTTGCCATATGTTTCATTTGAATGAATGCATTTGAGATGAACATTGTCTTACTGAAGCTGCTATTCATGAAGCCCAAAAGACAGACTTTAGTATAGGTTTTATTTCCTTATTTGAATGTCAAACTACTGTTCTCAGAATGGATTTTTATATGCAACAATATGCACTTAATTTATTATGTATTTATAAGACCTCACTATATCATGCTGTCTGTAGAGCAGAATTCAAAATAAGGCAGTGCAATCTTGGATCTCATGCCAAAGAGTCTGTTTCTTGATGAATTAAAAAAGCTTTGTAATATAGGTGGCCCTCCATATCAGCAGGTTCTGTATCCACAGATTCTGTCAACTGTGTATCAAAGTTGTTTTTAAACACTGATCTGTACGAACATATATAGACCTTTTCCTTGTCATTATCCCCAAACAATAGAGTACCATAACTATTTACACATCAGTTACATTGTATTATATTCTATAAGTAATCTAGAGATGATTAGAGATGATTTAAAGTATATGAGAGGATGTGTATGAGTCACATGAAAATACCACACCGTTTTATTGAAGGGACATGAATATCTGTGGGTTAGGGTATCCACAGAGATCCCTGGAACTAATCCCCAGCGGATATCAAGTAAGAAACGTACAGTTTTGATATCCATGGCATAAAGTCCTCATGGCAGGATTTAAGTGTGAGCTTAATCCAAGCAGGTCAAGCAGGGTGAATAATTCTCCAATCAAGAGTATTAAAATTACTGCTGATAATCAAGCCTTTTCACAAATATTCATTCTTCTCTCTTAGGTATAGGCAGGAAGTTCTGAGTGTAAGTAAACTCTAAATTTACTTTATAACTTTGTTTTAGTATACATAATATAAAGTAAGCAGAAGAACTCAGGAGGATGCTATCTGGTTCCTTGGGTGTTATAAATCCTGAGATTTAATTGACAAAATGATGAATTTCTATTATGCCTGCATTCAGCCTTGAGGGCCTAAAGGCAATATGAGGCAGTTCATTACTAGCACTATTCTCTGTTTTACATTTTTGTTCATTACCAGCAACTTCCTTAATATTTATAGTTATATAATGTTGTGCTAGTAGATGTTTATTCTCAACATCTCTGACTTCAGTATCCAACAAACATTTGTTAAAGTCTAATGTGTGCAAATCATGCTATGTATTTCTTAAGTTCCCAAAAGAACCTAGATTGAAGTTTGGGACTAGGAGCTTGCACGATATTAACAGTCTCTGTTTGCAGCTCCTCAATGGAGTTGTAAGGTAGGATAGAAAGTATGCTAAGGGGGACTCATAGCATGCTGTAAGAATTTCAATGAAATCAACTTGTGTCTTGTCTTATATTCCATCTGAATTGCCTTTCTCTACAAATTAATAAGCACAGGACTGTGAAAACCCAACAACAGTAGTGTTTTACCAGTTGGAAAAATGATGAATAATAAACGTTGCACATTGGAATCAGTGAGATTGAAGAAGTTCCATTGTGTCTTTTTTCAGAGAATTTATATCATCTAGCTTCCTGTTCAATCTCAGGCACTGTAGATGGATAGACGGTACATATCTGAAGAAGTTCACAAGTATTTACTGAATGAAAAAACTCATCACTCATTATTCTCTACATGAATCCTGAAGCACTTAGGGAATCCGAAGTTTGGGAAGGTTCTGAGCAATCCCATTACAGGTCTCCCTTTTATGTACCATTGTAAATATAAATAAGTTTACTCATTCTTAATAATTTTTATTGGTTTTCTGTGATCTCTCTAGCTTTTCAAGGTAACTTTTTAAACTTATGCTAGCCAACATATGAAATACCCTTTCCAACTGTGAGATACATTATATTTTCCAAGTTTATCCAAGACCTTGGAAAGACATTAAAACAAGAGAGCCACAAACAGAACTTCTCTATCCCACACTGAAACTCTCCTACTAAACAACATACTTTCCTTCATTCTACAAGTATTTCCTGGGCAAGGATTCATCTTTAGGGTGTTAGGAGGAATTATTCAAAGTGCAAGGCATTAGTTATCTAGTGATGAATACAATAGATTCAACCCCTGTTCATACAGGGCATAAGGTCTACACCTAAGAGGAAGCATTTGTTCAAACAGCTAAAAAAGCTCACTTCTCTCCTTTTCAGCAATGAAAAGAATGACTTCCCTGAATATCTCCTATCTTTTTCTGCCAGTCTTTTCTCATGCTGCTCTCAGAGTAAACTCCTTTTTATCATTTTTCTGGCTCTCATAACCTTAGGCATTCAAAAGAGGCCACGTAAATGTTACCAGCTCCAAAAATCCCATCCACACCTGTGAGATCTTTTAACATGTGGCACCACTTAAGTTGTGCTCATCACTCACTGATTTCTACTGTCATTTTTTGAAAACTTCTCATATAAACTCACACTCCCCTTTCCAACACAATGATGCCTTTGATATTATTGTATCCAAACTAAGCACAGTGACTATATTTCAGGGAGAGTGAATCTAGACCCCTTTTATTCTAGAAGAATAAAGATGTTTAGTAAGAGTGCATATGGGTCTCATTCACCAATAATCATTCAAGGTCAGAGAAATCTCAGATTGACACTAGGTCTCCTAACTATTCTAATTCTGGATGCAGAAAACCTCCAGAAGCTTTTTTTTTCCTTGAAGATTCAACTCATAGACCATTTGAAGCTTTGGACATACAATAAGGCACAAAGAAATATTTTCATGATAAAAGTAAATGGGGATGGGTCTGGGGTTCATGAATTGGTCAGATCCGAATAACAAATTACTAGGTGTTTCTTATCTGTTTACATGCTCCGTGATTTCTAACAGTATGAAAAATTGCATTTCAGAGTCCTAGATATTGATTAGGCATTTAAAGAGTACAAAGTTCAAAGATGCAATAACTAGATGATTGCTTCTAAAATCCAACAGGGTTTTTTGGATGACACAAGAGTGCTTAATCATGTTTTTTTTTTCCTCTTTAAGGACAAAGCCATGTGGTTGGTCAATATTTTCATTCCCTAAGGACCCATGGAATTATGATAGTTTATCTTCATAGTCACCCAGGCTCATATTGGCATGGATCAGGTAATGCAGTTCACATAGCAAATAGGCCTCCTTTGTTAGATACAGGGGTGGAATCTGACGACTGAACACGTTTTTCTTTTAAAACAGGCTCCATAGGGATGGAAGGGAGGAAACAAATGTAACCTGCGTTCTCCTTTTGTGTTAGACATGGTACTTTGTGCTCTGCATACATCATCTCATTTAACCAACAAGCCTTTATAGCTACAGCAAAGAAAACAGTTATGAAAACTTAAGCCTCTTGCTTAAGATCATGAGCTAGTAAGTGGCAGAGCTGGTGACCTGAATTCCTGGTTTCAAGCCTTAAATAAGGCTTTCACTCCTATGCAGCATGGCAGCATACCAGAGTATTTAACAATTATATTTATGCAAATGTATTTATGAATATGCCAAGAGACTATGAGGAGAACATATTGACATTGTTGCTTTTTAGGAAAGAAGACTAAATTCATTTCAAACAACCCATGTTCACTTCACCTGGAGCTTCCCTGAGAAAAACGGGTGGCTCACTCTTGGTCACCATGGTGGAGTAACAGCTGTCCACTAGGCAGATAACAAATGATATTTCATTCTTTTTTCCTGCTTCTTATGAGAAGGCCACGGTGAACTTCTTTGTATTCCTGATTTCATCCCTCTACTGTGAGATAGCGTTGTGTTTTTCTGAAAGGGTCTTGTACTGAGCCAGCCTCAACAATCCATTGAGAATGGACTGTTGGCTCTGTCACACTTACCTGAAGCTTTTATGGCTCTACTACTGATTAAGAGGTGGAGGAATATGAATTCTCAGGTAATAGTTTGCTGTAATCAACACGTTAGTTATGTTGTCCAAAAGTCTGCATCAGTAATGTACCTCTTTAGAATCTATTTATACATTGAATTTCTTGTCCCTGGTATTGGTAATTTTTGGTTTAATATGTTTTTTAAAAGATGAGATAATAAAATGTGATGAAACTTTATGATAACCTTTCTAAATAATCTGCTTACAGAATTGTTCAAAATTTCTGTCCTCTCCTTATGAATTTCCTTCCCTAAATAGATGCATTGATACAGGTTCATGTCTCCATTTCTCCCCCTGCAGATTCCTCTCCTTACCTGTCCTCCCTCCCAGCTTTCTTGCCTTCTGGCCTCCCTTGCCTCCCTTTTTGGCCAGGACTGGTATTGGGATTTAATTTGGTGTTTCCTCCTCTATTGTTGCTGGACTGAGGTCCACTCACGAGCTCCCAGTCACCTCCCTCTCCACTCCTGTGGCCAATGTTCCTTCCAGCTCCATCACCAGTTTTAAAGATAGTCTGAACTTTCTTGTCATCCTTAGTGGTTTTTAAATCACCCACTTTCTATCTGACCCCTGTGACCTGTCATCTGCCCTTTCTACTCAAATGAAGTAACTTTCTGAGGAACCATCCGTAACTTCTGTTACAGAGTCCAATCAATACTTATTTTCTGCAGCGCTTGCTGTTGCTGGGTACCCACTCCCTCGAGTTTCTTCTCTCGTAGCTCTGGGGCACTGTACCAATGTTGGTGTTTGTACACTCACGCTACATTATATATGAGTAAAAAAGAGCATTTCAAAAATGAAATGATTCAGTGGGTCTCCTAAAAAGGTAGCCAGAATATGTAGATGCAAGTTGTCAGAGTTAGTAAGCTCACCACCATATCACATATGATGTTGAAAGAGGAGAAAGGAAAAGCCAAACCCCGCAGTCCATACCATTAATTAAAAGATGCTTTTTTCTTCTTTAAATATTAAGGAATATTAATAGATGTGTGATGATGTCTTGAGAATAACCTCAGTGGCAAAGAATATATTGAAGTGTTTCTTTGGAAAAATGTCTTTCCATTTCCTGTGGTTATTCCAAATGTAAAAATCGGCACCATTTCCTGAAAAGGTCATGTGAGTGTTCTATGAGGCCTGATTGGTAAAAGATGATATGTCCTGAAATACTTGAAACTAAAAATTTTTTTTGTGTCATATCCTTTTTGTTCTTTGGGTATAATCAGAAGTGTCAACTTTAGAAGAATATTATAAAACAAATATTTTATGATTACATTGTTTTAGTTTTATTTGAAAAGAAAATTGTAAAATGCAAAGAGAAGACCCACGTTCACTGTTAATGAAAATATAAGAAAATACATCAATTTTGTGTCTGCCATATCAAGCACCAGTAGGATAGGAAGCTATGAAAATGAAGGCAATGACTACATAGTAACACTCGATTTCATTATTTTAACTCCTGGGCCCATCATCATTTTGTTTCTTCCATCCTAGTAGAATCAAAGGTGCAGTCATTTTTGTGAAGGTGTTATTTTCATGACAGTGTAGACTATACCAAATAGGTACTTTACCTGCCACATCTGAAGCTCATTTACAAACCATAGTTCCCTCAGAAGGAGTGTGTGCTTGACATAGATTAACAGATATTTGACAAATGAATTGGTACAATAATGGTTTAAATCACAAATTGGCTTTTTGTTTTGGTTTTTTGTTTGTTTGTTTGTTTTGGTACCAGGGATTGAACTCAGGGGTACTTGACCACTGAGCCACATCCCCAGTCCTATTTTGTATTTTATTTAGAGACAGGGTCTCACTGAGTTACTTAGTATCTTGCCATTGCTAAGGCTTGCTTTTGACTTGTGATCCTCCTGTCTCAGCCTCCTGAGTCATTGGGATTCCAGGTGTGTGCCACCACACCCAGGCCACAAAGAGTTTTTTACAGACATAAGTTGCTTCATTAAAAACGACTTATAATGTAGCCATCAAAAATATGGCAATCACTCTTAATAGATAATAAGCTCTATTATGGACAGAAAGTGTGTTTGTACATTCAACTATTAAAGAAAACTTATTTCTGGTGATTGGATAGACATATTTGATTTTTCATTCCATCTTTCAGAAAATGAAGATGCTACTTGTCTTTCATCTGACCTTTCAAAGTCAGATGGAATATGGAAAATCCAGCTGCATTTCCATTGCACTTTTTTTTTGCTTGGCCATTTTCCATGGTGGGTAGGTGGTCTGTGTCTAGATTTGAAAAATAGCCCAAATTGCTTAGTTTTTCCTAAAGTTTAATACTTAGAAACAGAAGTAGCACCCTCTAGCAAAACTGTTACCAGGAACACAGTAAGCTTTTCAGGGTTATTTATGAGTAAGAGATGAATAGCCTTGTCCTCGCAGTGAGAGAAATAGAGTGGATCCCAGTTTGCTTGTAGCGCAAGAACACTTGATGAGAGAGAACACTGGTATACAGGGTTTCAAACACAAGAGAGCAAACCCAGAGGCACTCCTGAGTTTGCTTTGTCCTATGGGCTCAAAATAAGTATATTATGTTTAATTAATTCTAAGTCTGTAAGTGCTGCTCTAACAATGTCAGCAGTCCAAGTTAAAGACATTTGAGGTGATGTTTGTAATCATGAAAATGTTCATATGCTGATGACATAGTAATAACAATTTAAAATAAAAGAATACTTATGTACAGGAAAGTAGTTCTGTGGAACAGAATTAGATCAAGGCAAGGTTGCATGGTGGGCATTTAGTCGTGAAAATATCAATCTGTACCTAATGATTGCTGTGAATCAGCCTTCAAACCCATTAGATGTGCCATTTAACCAGGCAACATATGCCCATTATTTTTTAGCAGAAAAAGCAACGGCCATATGTTCAATAGTTATTGAATTGTGACTAGCAGGTGTGCTTCACCATAATAACAATGATGACAATAATAATATCTTCAGCCTCAACTCTCTCCATAGTAAGGACAAAGGAGGAAAAGCAATAATTATTTGAAGAATTTGAGTATTGTAAGAAGCCAATCTAGATATTTTAAAGCAAATTTCACTTTCAATAGCCAGCAGTCTTCTTTCTTTTCTCCTCCTTAGTTTGGATAATTTTCTTTGAGTTCCATTTTACTCCTTTACCAACATTAAACCTATACAATTTCATCTCATGTTATTGATTATGTTCCTGTATATTTGCAATGGTTCCTCAAAAATTTTTATTTTTACTTTCACATATTGCAGTATTTGACCCTCATAGCAACTGTGTTGAAGAGGTAGAAGAGAGACATTGTTGCTTGTTTTCCCTTTAAAAAGCTGTGGTTCAGAGAGGTTAAGTGACGGTTTCTACTCCACAAAAAGAAATTTGTTGCAATTTTTCTGGTGAAGCTGTCATTCTTAGAGATAGTAAAGTGACCACACTAATAGAGTGTTACACATGTGTCACTGTCACTATTACTCTGCTGGAAAACATATTGTGTCAGGAGGTCAAGAACAGGAAGAGGAAACACAGATTGATAAAATAAGAGCTGTGCTATTGAAGGAACACTTAAAGCATGCACCAGGTAGGTTCTAGAATATGATCCCCTTCCCTTTAGCTGTGTATTTCAGTACTGAATACATCATGATAATTTTTTTAAAGGGCAGACTAGTGTTAAACCATTCATATAAAGTGTCATGTTGGTACAATATAGAATGGTTTACATAATTAATAGCACATCCCTCTGTAGGCTAACTAGAAGATACCCATATTACCATAGGGGAAGCAATTTTTGGTATTGTTTACTCACATTTTTTTAATTAAAAATTTATAAATGGAACTTAAACTCAAGGAGAAAAATGAAGAATCAAAATAACAAACAAAATTTCTAATTTTTCCAGGAAAATTTCCTTCCCATATAGTAGCCATCACAACTGCAGCCATGCAATCCACTGGAGCCAGTCTTCCATGCATCTGAAGATATGATGCAGGACAGGAGGTACAGTTTAGCCAAGCTTTGGGGGGAAACTGGAATGAGGAATTTGACATCCTTGGGCCTTTTCCCTTTTTTTGTCTTGATGGGCAAACACTTTTCCTAAGTCATCCTTGTGAAAAGTCCTGGACCCATAATGACCATTTGTCATACCATAAATCTGATGCTTCATCCATGTCTGATAGTACTCTGGTGGTCATTTCAGGTTACAGATTTCACCTTTAAGATTTCTTAAAGAGAAGTCTGACAATTCATCCTGTCTTAGAAGAAGAAAAATCAGGCACCTCTTTTCATTAGGATGTGAGCCATGTTAACAGCAGCTTGTTATCAGGCTTGGCATTTCCCAAGGTTAGAGGCCACATATGGCCACATATGATACATACTAAAATGTGTGTTTCATCTCTTGCATAAGTTTGGAGTGTAAACAACCTTGAAATTGAGCTTGGAGGAAAAGAAATACTTGAAAAGTATTTATTCTTTTAAATACGAATATAACTTAGAACTTAAAATATGTTCTATCTTAAAACAGGTGGCAGATCGCTTTTTATTTCTGTGCATAGGGAGAGAAATTGGGGGTGAAGGGTCAGGAAATGTTTCTTTTTTATTGATATACACATTTTATCCTTAAATCAGATAAAAATCTCCCATGATAACTTTCAAAGTGCACAGTACTTGTAAAAATCTGGTTTGATAATTATTGCAAAAAAAAAAAGGAAAATATAAGATCTGATAGACTGGTGACATTCTGTACAGCTTAATACTAACTTGTCACAGAATATCTAATATTCAGCCTTCTTTTGGATATTTGTACTTTTTTCTTGTAAATTATTTACACTGAGACAAAAAGTCATTGGTTTTGAACTGAACTTAATTTAGGCATCTAAATGATATACCTGAACACATGCTTTGGCCCTGCCATGACTTTTTAATGACTTTTCCATTTAACTTGGTTTTGAAAATTGATTTGCCCTTTAAAAATAATATCAGCATTTAAAGTAATTTCACTTGCTTTTTGTCTGTGCTGTAACTGAATATGCTCCCTCAGAGCATGACTTCAAATAGGCAGCTCTTAGGAAGATGTGACAACTGCTGTGCATCAGCTGGAAATGGCAACTCTGATAACAAGAATGTGAACATGGCTTTGGGGTGAGGCAAAAACAGAGACCATTGAAAGTTGACTTCATTGGCTTGATGTGCAGACACTGTAGGAAATTGGGGGTGATCTCTGGGCACAGCCATCCTCCTGAGCTATGCATGCTGTAGAGCTGTCTGCTACATCTTCACAGTTGCTCCTTTGCTTCTTTCTCTGAATATCTGCCTCTTTATCTAATCCCAGGTCATTGCTCTTAGCTCTATTCATGGGGGAAAGGTAGGGATTGAGGCTGACGGGCTTAAAAATAAGTGTCTGGAGGTCACTTTTGCCCATCTTTTCATTGGGTCTTGTTCTGTCTCTCCGCTGATAAGCAAATTCATACCACTCAGCATCCTGGTACTTAAGACAACAGCAATGATGCAGAAACAGATACCCAAAGTAGCAAATTAGAGCAGATATATGAAATTTGTGATGTCGTGAATACTGAAAACACTGAGCATTCTCAGGGCTCTAGCATCAATTTAGAAGATATTACCAAGTACCTGTCCCTGCTTCCAATTACTCATCTATAAAAATGGAGATATAATTCTTTGAGATTTCTCTTAAAGTAGCAGTAGGTTTAATTGGGAGACACGGAAGAATCATCACAATGATCTTAAAAATAGTTTTGATTATGTCACTAGGAAAGATACATGTCTAATAGGGTGCTATCATCCACTAGCCCTGACCTTTCAGCATCACTGCATCTATGTTCTAGTGTTCAGGATCTATATGTCATGTCTTCAGCATATATCTTGTGTACATAAGGGTGGTAAGAAAGTTTAGATTCAGGGCTAGATTTGTAGCTCAGTGGTAAAAGCACTTACTTAGCATGTATGAGGCACTGGATTTGATCCTCAGTACCACATAAAAATAAATAAAATAAAAGTACTGTGTCCATCTACAACTAAAAAATGAATATTAGAAAAAAAAGAAAGTTTAGATTAAACTAAAAATACCTGTGGGCTTATCCTATGCAACTATGTGCGACTACTAGCACTACCTGGAAAATTAATTCTATTTTACCTTCTTACCTACCCATGGGCAGCTCCCAAGAAGTCCTGCCTCTCTCTTCCATTCCTGATTAATCCAAGATTCAAGTCGGGCATCAAATCTCTTGGAAAACCTTGTAAGCATTTCTTCTTCCCTTTTTTTCTGCCATGATTTCTCCTCCAGGATAGATACTATATGAAACCCTCTCACAGAGGGCCATCATTATGCATTCTAATAAACATGTCTGAATTTGTAATTGGATCAAAAGTATCCCAAATGTGAGATCATTATCTTTTTCTTTGTATTGCCCATTTTCAACGTAAAGTGAATACTTTCTAAATATAAGCACACCCTTTCCCAGGCATTGTAGATATAGGATAGAATCATTATTTCATTTGTTATGTCCGTGAAGTACCCTTGGTGTTGTCTATGTCAAACACTCAATTTATAGGTGGGGAAACTGAGGAGCAGAATGTATGTTAATTCATTCATTGCTCATTTATTAATTTATATTCAGGCAGCACATATTGTTGAACATCCATGAGCCTGGCACTGTGCTAGCCACCGGATATGCAATACGGAGTAAAACGGAACAAAAGACATGGTCCTTCTGTCTTGGAGCTTGCTTTTTAGTGTGATATTGAAACAGCAATCCAATATTACATATGACATGATATTCACCAATTGTGCTAAATGGGAATAATGGGAGCCAATTGACAAGGAGGGTATTTAGCCTAATAGTCTGATGTTGAAACTGAAATCTGAAGAACTGCAGATGTACACATGCACATGCAGGGGGAGGAGCTCACCAATCATAGGCTTGAGGCAGGAGGGAGCATGATGCATTCAAGAAACAGAAGAGGTAAAGATGCTGGTAAAGATAAATGGGTAAAGTAAGGAGAGAGGGGCACACGATGAGAGGGAGAGGAGGCCAGGGGCCAATTCCTGTAGGATCTGTAAAGCCATTTGAAAATGTTTAGTTATTTACTGAGAACATTAAGAGCACTGGAATATTTGAGAACCAGAGGGAGGGGGGTTGGCTGATAACATGTGTATTTTGAAAGAAGTATGTGCTATGGTGTAGAGAAGAGATTGGTAGATCTGCAGATTGAGCAGCAGAGTGAATGAGGCAACTGGGAAGAATTTCTTACAGTGCCTACAAGAGATTTTGGTCTCTTGGAGAGAACACTAGACATATTTGTCTTATTTTCTTGCTAATGCTATTAACATTGCTCCTTATCAAGAAAGGCCTTGTTCTACATGAACTTCCTGTGTGCACTGCTTTAAGCTTCCCATTTCCCCAAAAAAGAGGGCAGAGGCTAATGAATATTCCATTTTCTGTGACTGGAGAGTTTTCGGTTTTGCGATATCCCAATCTCTTTGAGCACCATTGCTGGCCTTAAGTAGCCCATTACATACTTCATGGAAGATCTGAACATCAGGTAGTCAGATGACATTGTTATAAAGAGCATAAAAAGACTCTAGAAGTTCTGTGAATGACAGAGCAGTTGAGGCCACTGTTGACCCTTAACACCAATGATTGGAGCACCAGAGGAATTGGCCTCTTGGAGGGAAGATGTAACATCACCTTCCCAGGCTGATCTGAAGTGAAGCAAGTGCTGTTCAGCAGCACTAATTGGAGCCTCCTTAGAAACCCACCATGGGCAAGATGCAGCTCATGTGCACCTTTGGGATACAGAGGATTTACCACCTACACCAAAACAGGAATAACTACTTGTTCAGAGGCTTAGCTGAATAGTAATATCGTTAGCAAGATACATATCTTAGAAAAGGAAATTCACTTACAGTGACCTGGGATCTTACTCCATCACATCACAGTGATGGAGCCAGACTCACCAGTCACCGAGCTCATCAGAAGGAGATGCCTGTTGACTGTTTCTTCTCTAAGTGAAATCACCATCCTCTTGGGCTCTTTGGGATCATCCAATTGCTGCTGTAGGTGACTATACTTCACGGTAACTCAGGGTTTCCATCCACACTGCTGTCCCACAGCCTTCTTCATGTTTCTGGTAGGCAGATGGGAAGACACTGAAGCAAAGCATAGCCCACCTGTAGGAATCCTGCAGACTCAATGTGACTTGAGTTGAACAGAAGGAGAAATTATTGTTTAATGTTGTCCAGCAAGTGAATAGCAGGGCCAGAACCAGAAAATAGGCCTTTCAGGGTCTTTTTCACTACTAAATACTTTTTGGTTTCACAGGGGTAGGATCAGTTTATTGGCTTTCATTGGTATATTTTGGGCAAGGAAAATGAAGCAGAGAATAAGGAATAATTAGAAGCCCCAATGGTATTTATTTCCCCATATTAAGATGGAAGTTGAAAATTTTCCTACTATATGCTACAAACACAAGTTTATTAAAGAGTTTCTCTATTCTTTGGGCATAGTCTATTTTCTTCTATGATGTCACTATAGTTCTTGTTTTCTGTAAAATCTAAAGAGCTGGTGTTGCTATTATCTCTAGATGGGAGCAAAACTTCATAAATTGTAGCATTCTGTGCATGCATGGGAAAATAGCTCTTACAATGTTAGCCAATTCCATTTCTCAGTTAAAAAATAAAGTGAATTTTAAAGTGTAGGATAAGTGAATTTTTATGTTTCACTTTTAGTTATTGGATTGTCTAGATATTGTATTTTAGGAGGGCACTATTCTTCCTGGAACTTAGAAAAGCAGTCATTCAATCACACAGTGATTTTTAGAATTTCTTTTAAGTGAATAACAATTTTAGGATGTCAAGTTTTAGATGTCTGGTTTCAACTTGTTTGGCTAAGCTGACATTTAAAATTCAGTCCCGATGTTATGTGAATTGTCCTAGCTTTTTACCTCTCCTTTTTTCTTCTATATTGGAAACCTGTACAGAGAACACTATCACTTAATAAAAAAAAGATGTTTCCTGCTTTGTTTCTTTTTATTCAACTCAGAACTGCCTAGGGGGGGAAGATTTCTTTCTTTCTGAATGTGGTAAGCCACAAAATGGAAAATATACACGAAAGCACTTGTGCCTCTTCTCTATTAACCTTGGAAAAAGGTGACAGGAGTGTGTGAACAATGCGGTTAGATGCTTGAATGTACTCGATTTATTCTTATTATTAATTTAATTTAAGGGTTTCACTTGACAAGTAACTTCCTTGATTTGTACATTTCAAAATTGTTTTCCCTTTTTTCTCCAAAATAACAATTTGTCCTTCTGAAATCCTCTGAAAGATTTTATGCCACTGTAGTTTCAATCATGGTGATGATTTCTGTGTCTGTCATGAGTGGTTTGATTTGCATGTTTATACTTATGTCACATAAATCCAGAGGATACAATGCGGGCCCTAGTATATGATTCCTTTGTACTGTTTTGGAAAATTTTGAGGGCAGCAACTCAGATCCCTGAATTTGGAATGAAATGCTCAGGTATAACCAAATGTTAGAATGGCAGATTCTTTATAAATTAGATGCTGAAATTGGCAAATTTTACTGGTTTCATTTCCTTTGGGAAATGACTGTGATGTTTAATTCTTGACTTTGGAATTGTCTTTGACTACTCAGAGTGAAATACCGCATTTTAAATTCTAATCTAAGACATTAGGGAAGCTAGACATTTAGGAAATCAATATTTGTACTTGATAGCCATATGCCATATATTAAAGTGCATATCTCACTGCACATGTCTTATAAAAGATCATTGTGTGAACGGTATTATACCAACTTCTCCTGAACTTTCTAAATATAACTGATTAAAATTATTTCCTGGAGTGATTATTTTGGTTATGGTCTCAACTTTTCAAAACCAAGATGGTAGTGTAGAAGTGGTTAATATATTGTGTTAGTCAACTATCTTTTTTATGGACGTGGGTTGTTATAAACTACCATCCTAGAAATAGATACACACACAGACAGACACACAAACACATACACAATATCAGAGAGAATTTTCAGGTGCACTCTTTGAGATTGGTGATAGAAAATCTGAGATTAGGACCCACAAATTACTAGGACACTTGGTTTTATATCAAAGGTCAATGAAGAGTCATGAAGTCAACACCTCAGTGAAATGTCCTTAAGTAAAGGCATAATGGAAGTGCAGCCATATTAAATATGTATTTTTCCCAAAACTGATCAGTCTTGCATATGACCAGGTGAGGCAAGAAAACCCACCCTTGACTGGACAGTAATTCACTTATGTTTTCCTAACTTCAGTGGATCTATGCCATACTGAATACCTGCATAAGATTGCCTTATTGCCTTGCACAAGTGTATAATCAGGTCAGCCTTTATCTAACCTGTATAGTACTCCATCATGGTTTTTTTCCCTTTTTGTTCTTTCAAATATGTTGACTCTTCTTGATACTTCTGAAGCCACAGCTCTTTCCCTATCATTACCAGCTAAGTTTTAATAACTTATACTCTAAACTGTTACCTCTCTGAATTCTCACTATAATTCCATGGCATTATCATTGACATTTTATATAATAAGGTTACCAATATTTAGAAGTATCATTTTAGTCACACTGCTGATTATACTAAAGCCAAGAATTGACTCAGGTCTGGATTATTCCATGCACTGGACTGTGATGTATGTGTATTATACAAAATGTCAACCTTGAAAGTATCATTTAGTAGATATTTTGGGGTCTCTACAGAAGGTTACAGAAACTTCTTTAAGTAAACTAACTCAACTTTTAAAAATAATTAAATGTAATTTTGGTGAAGCAGTTATCAATTTAAATTGGCTTAAAGTGAGCATACATCTTCAATAAGCCTGGAATGGAGGACAATATCCCATTAATTTGGGGGTCTGTCTTACACACTTGACCTTATCCTTTAGCTTCAGCTTTGTATAAAGTATGCATTTGTCACTATAATCCATTTCTGCCAGGCACAAGTGTCTTTCTCCACCCAAATGCAATGCAATACAATCCAATTCAATCCAAGACAAACCCCCTCCAATTAGTCTCTGGAGACTGTGGTTTCTATTTAGACTCTGGATAGACTTTGTACTTTTGCAGATGGTGGCCACACATAAGCTGTGGGTTTATCTTGAAGACACATAGAGACCCATTTCTAGGTTCAAAGTTGCCTCTGGGATGGATTCACATTCCCCATGGCATGCCTCTCTGTGCACTGGCTGGTAGGAGGGAAGCATATGTTGACATAAGTTCTCACTTTTTTTCAAATTAGGACTTCACTCTAAACAACCACAGGGCTGAGGAAAGTCATTGTTTTGCCTATTGCATAGTCTCTTTCCAAAGAAAGTACTGGTCCACCTTTAGCTCTTGTCTTGATGTCTTTTTCGGGGATTATTTCTGCTCTTTGTGAAATTGGTACTTTAGTTTAAGTTCAGAGGAGATTACTACTGGAAACACCTGTGATTGCCCCCCAAGTTTTAAATATCAATTTAAAAGCCAAAGCATTCACTAAATGAAAGAATTCTTTGAATTTCTACAGAGTAGTACCAAATCCCATCAGGGCAACATTGAAATTGAAATACCTTTCAATATGTGCATCCTTTGGAAAAGTGTGGCTTAAAGAACAAAGTTCTTGTTAGCTTGACCTCATTGGATTCATATTATAGAATCTCCAAAGTATGATAAATGTATAGGTATCTCTTAATAAGCCATAATACGATCCATAGAAATAATCAGAGTTGATGTAAGAAAAAATGGGATGGCAAAGTTATTTAGCATCCTTGCATGGAGTTGAGGAAAGGGAAAGACAGATTTTTTTCTTTCTTAAGTTTCTGGAAAAAAAAATAAAAGGCAGGACATGATATTTGTGGTTACTGGTCTTTCCTCAGTTTTAAGAACAACAACAAACAAAAATCAAACAACAACAACAAAAACATGTTTACAGGACTTTGCCAAGCAAAGATAATATGACAAAAGGGTTGGCAATCCTGGTGAAATTTTTTTTAAAAAAATGGAGTTTTGTCAGATAGTGAATGGAGTCTAATTATATTCAGGGGCAGGTTAAAGTAATCAGAAAGCAAGGAACACAATTATGAGATAGGCTTGATAACAGATGGCCCAATAAAATACAAAAATAGGAAGATAAAAATAGAATGCTTTTATATAAATTCTTGAAGAGTTTAAGAATATTTGAGATAAAAACTTAGAAGAAAAAGTACTAAAAATAAATTTGATGAGATATATATTCTTAAAGGAAAATAAAAGGCTTATTTTGTGTAATGAGTGGAGAAATACCAGGTTTTTCTCTGATTTTCACCATTTTATAAGTGCTTTGGGATTATAGAGTTTTTATAATTGGGGACATACTTTTATGAAAAATGAACCCCAAATAAAATCAATCCTGTTTGTTCCAGCTATTCCTTTTCTTTTGCTTCTTTTCCTAAAGGACATTCCTCAAAGCCATTTGAAAATTAAGATATGAGAGTTAGAATTTTTTGTTGTTGGTAAAGTTAGTGGTTTGTGGAAAAACCTCCTTCTGGGTTATTGGCATTGTTTGACTAAGATTTCTGAATGCACTTTGTGTACAAAGGTCTACTCAACTGTTACTACAGAAACTACACCCAACTCACTGGTTCAAATGTATGTCAAATGTATGTATGATGCTCAGTGCTGACAGGAGTTTAGAATTAAAGTCAACTGTTCTCTGTGATAAAATGATACTTTGAGAAAGACTCAAGGAAGGAGTGCTTGTGAGTAACTGCAGGTTTTCCTTCTGTCTTCCTGTGCTCTTAGCTCCATGTTCTTATTCTCCTTCTATAAAGAAAGGCACACATATGCATTTTGGGGGAGGTTCTGTGGTGTGACAGATATCAAAGGGCTTAGACTCAACCCAACTCTGGTACTCAGTTTCTCATGCTTTCAGAGTCGTTGAGAAGGATTTTATAAAATCCGGTGCCCTGCCATAGTCCAGCTTGCCCATGAGACACCCCCTGCAAGGTCAGCCATTTCCACAGCATTGAAGTTTGCTCAGTGATTCCTGGTTCCCTGGATTCTCATTGCTGAAGAGAAGGCCACTCAACACCACATCAGACAGGGACCCTCCCAAGAAGGCAAGAAAGGTGTTCAGAGTCAGCTCTAGATTGTCAACATTTTGCTTTTTCTGATCCTGAAATTTTCATTCAAAAATAGCGGTTCTTATTTAAAAATCAAAACAAACTAAAATGCCCACCAAAACCTCAAAATTCTTCTTATTATGACTTTTATAATCTCAATTGTATATTATAACTTTTTCCCCTTTCCACACAAATCCAATTTCTCCTTCAAAATACTTTTTTTAAAAGAGAGAGAGAGAGAGAGAGAGAGAGAGAGAGAGAGAGAGAGAATATCTTTTTTGTAGATGGACACAACACAATGCCTTTATTTTTATGTGGTGCTGAGAATCCAACCCAGGTTGCACCCATTCTAGGCAAGCACTCTACCGCTGAGCCACAATCCCAGCCCCTCAAAATACTTTTTAAAAAATATCAAAATCAACTTACTATGTAATTCTTTTAGCTCAGGATAAATAGTGATTAGTGGTTTTTCCTCTGAAAAATGAGTCACTTTTACTGTGAGTAGTTTGACATCAGAGAGGGGAAGATATGTGAATTCAGAGGATAATGCTGCTTTATTTCACTTTGGCCCTGTTTGCAAAGCAATATCCAGGGCAGTCTTGCCCAGCCAATGTTAATCATTGACCTTTAGGACCCTGGGGAGCGGAGCAGATCTCTCTCCCTCCACCTCATGATTGAATCATCTTAAAAGCCCATATGCATGGTCACAATGTCCAATACTGTAGATGCTCATTCACTAGCTCCAAGTGATTACACTTCAAGAGATTCTTAGATCCATGGTGATGGGGAATGAACTTTTTAATTACATGTCTTTTGATTTCTATCACCAGGAACTAAATGAATGGGGAATTAATTCACAAAGTTTGTTATGCATTTTCCTATTTAAAAGAGGACCCTTTCCCACAACCTTTCTACTTTGTCCTTTTACCCCAACGGCTCAATAATGAAATACCCTCTTTCTTATTCCAACTACATTGAAAACATTCAGTAGACTTAGCACCCTCTGGAATTCTGGCAATAACTGCTGTACAGTAGTCCTGCTTCAAAATTAGGTCCAGAATAAATAAGAAATTTTTTTTGTATATATTTTAGTCATTTTCCTGGTGACCTCTGTAAGTTTTCAATATTGCCCAAGAGTTATTTTGAAATAGCTTATAGTAATCGTTTCTTAGGCAAAATATTTTCTATTTGGTGAGAAATAGTGATACATGAAGTAGAAAGGCACAAGTGTTCTCTTCATAAACCAAGTTTTTATCTGCACTTGAAAAATCAACCAATAAGATGCAGGCTGAGGGTAATTGGGAATGCATAGTGGACAAGCTCAATCTTTTCAGGCTTTTGGTGTAATGTAAGGTAAAACATTGAAACGGAAATGTGAGTTTATTCTGGTAGCAGCTAATTAATATCAAAGCATTTTGAAAACCATGCTCCATAAACACCGGGTAATAAGGAACAAAGTTAGTACTTCTCATTGGTTGTGCATTTTCAAATAGTCCAAGTGTCCCTAGCACCAAAAAATAAAGAACTGTTTCAGCAAGGCCATTCATTAGTCTATAAATCAAAAGATGGTCTTTGAGTTTTTTCTATCCTCAGGCAAAGACATATTTGGCTTTATATAAAGACTTAAGCATAATTTTGAATTTCTAGAAACTGATCAAGTCATAATAAACTTTAAAAATTATTATTAGTATTTTGATTTTTGGAACCAGAAAATTATTACATATATTAAAGCCTAGTAAATGGTGCAGCTCTGGCTCACCTCAATTATACAGTATAAATATTTGAATTAGAGGCAGTAAGGAAGTTTTGGGAGCTATAGGAGTAGAATCAGGCATAGGAGAGATACCTGTAAGATAGAGGTTGAGGTGGGATTTACAGTTTTGCAAATCATGGAGGTAATGAAAATGGGGATTAAAAACAGGAGTAGGGGCATTGGAGGGAATTTCATGGGAAGAAAAACTGAGTAGAACCTCTAGAATGCTTATAGTTCCTTGGAAAAATGGGTCTGAATACCCACAAAAGACCAGCATGTCCTCTTACATGCTTCTCACTACTTGGCTGAGAAGCAGGGAGACAGAACAGTATGATGTTTGTGAATTGTTGATGAGGAAATTAGTCTAGTGTGCTGAGGGGTTTGTGTGTTTTGAAACATGCCCGAAGTGGCAGAATATTACTGATGTTTGAAACGCTATCATAGTCTATATTTGTTAAAATACTCATTTCAATTTTTAAATCATATTCCTTTAATAAAAGCATGCTTGCTTGTTAAAACACAGCTCTTTGCTTGTAATTTTGCTTGTTCCTATACTCCTTGATCCATCAATTAAAATGTGATTTCCTACTGGAGTCTTTGATAAATATGCAAGGCTGTTTTCATTGCATGAGGAAGCTGAAAGAGCCCTTGGTTGGTCATCTAGTTTAATTGAATCATGCCTGTGTTTCTGGCACAGTTTTCATTTTATGAAAGAAGCACACAACTTCCCATGTTTTGTATTTCTGCAAATCCAGGTGAGCAAATATGTCCTTAGAGTCTAGTCCAGGATTTAACTAGCATGATATTTGTTTAAGAAATACATGTGATAAATGAGTCAATTGGCATGTTCTCTCTTTATGTTAATGCTAACATTTAAAGGAATGGGTGAATCAGTGTTTTTATCTGCATCTCTTGACTTTTGAGAAATAAGAAGACTTGAGTAATAGTGTTTTATAGCAAAAATGTCTTCTCATTGATTTTACTTAAGTCACTCCCAGGTGACTCATTGGGGAACAAAAAGGGAAATCCTTTGTGATGAATCAGATGCCATTCTGAGATATAGGTCTTTTTAGACTTTTTTCTGTTTATTTCAAATCAGCACTGCCCTTTTAGATCAATACCAAGCGAATAACAGCCAAAAATTGGCTCACATAAAAGTGACAGGGTATTGCAGAGTTCTAGTTACTGTTTTCATGGTTGCTAGCACCCTTCTCCAGGAAAACAGATTGGCCATTAGACACCTACATGATATCCTTGAAGAGTAAATGGAATTGGGATCTATAGTCTACTTTACAGAGAGGCTATGCATAGGGAGACCTCCAGTGTCTGGGATTAGAGCTCTTGGGACACCCTTGTGCCCATTCTCCACCATTCTTTAAGTGATGGAATTTATAAAAACAAGTCTGGAGCCAGAAGGCATGGAGTCTGTCTGCCTCAGCCTGGGCAACTGTATTTTAAGAATTAAGTTCTTTCAAATTTTCTTCTTAGGAAAACTGTTGTCTTTCTCCAGATTGGGAAGAGACAGCAATTAATAAAGAAATAATATGTCCTCCTCTATGAAGAGAGGTCCCTTCATAATGAATTTCTCTTAGACCACAATGAATACCTGTAAAAGATCCAGGCTGTTGGCTTGTACTTTGTAACTTAGGAACTGAAAAGGACTCTTCTTGATGAATTATTGAAGGCTAAACAAGGTGAAAAACAGGTCTTCCTGAGACCAGTGTGAAGTGAAGTGGTAATGATGCCTGAGGGTTCTCTTTTCCTCCTGCCTGCTCCATGATCATGTTGCCAGCATGGGGCACCTGCAGGGCGAGATTTAGACCCAAACCAGATGTTGGTATGAACTGATTTTTGGATTTGTTTCTGTGGAAATTTCTGATCCTTTCTGAGATATTTGGAGAGTGATCCCTGTCCTTCCTTTGTTTCAGTTCTTCTTTCTTTCTCTACATTTTAATCTGAGGGCAAGTAACTCACATCTACAAGGAAATTCCCAGGGAGGAACTGGAGATAAGTATGTCTTTTTCAATACAATTTTCTTAGAAGAAATTTCTGGGCTTCCAGGAGAAACAGATGGTTGTTCAGCTATTGTTAGAGACCTAGGTTTGTGTTTTGGATGTCTGTCACTAGTGATAGTTGGTGTTTTTGTCAGTTTTGCATCACTGTGACCAACACCCAAGGAGAACAATTTAGAGGAGGAAAAGTTTATTTTGGCTCACAGTTTCAGAGGCTTAGTTCAAGGTCAGTAGACTCCATTGCAATGGGCCCTAGGTGAGGCAGAACATCTGGAGAAAGGCAGAAGTATGTTTTAGAGGAGGAAAGCAGCTCAGGACTTACTAAACAGGAATCTAAGAGAGAGTTCCAATAACCAGGGACAAAATATAAACCCAAAGGCAAGCCCCTAGTGACCTACTTTCTCCAGCCACACCCTACTTGCTTATAGTGACCACCCAGTTAATTCACTGATTAGTTTTTAACTCTCATAATCTATTAATTTTACCTCTGAACATTCTTGTCTCACACTTGCGCTTTTGGGGGACACCTCATACTAAACCCTAATAGTTGTGGTCAGATTCAGGCCTGCTAGAGGAAGGGGTAGACTTTCTGGTTACTCTGTCTTTGTAAACAAAGTCAACCAAAATTAAACCTTGGGGAAAAGAAGAATTGATCCCAGAGGCCATCTGGAGGTAGAGCCAATTGAAAATCACTTTGTTCATATGAGCACTTTTAAGATTTTTCAACAATTTATACCTATTGCTTAAGAGCAAAGAGTTTATAGTGGAATGGGCATGGGTTAGGAACTTACCACTACTTGTTAAGTTTATTCAGTATTGCTGAACCTCAGTTTTCCCATCTAAAAATATGAAGGCACTAATTATAATTAGTACATTAGATATTATAAACATTCAACGAGGTAACTAATATTGGTTTGCGGCTGAAAACCTATTCCAAAGCTTTCTGCTGACCTTAGAAACAAGCAAAATATACTAATTAATTTTTTTTTATGTGTTTGAGCCTCTTTGATTTTTCCATTTAGAATAGTCAATATTTTACTTGTAGTCCCGAGTTGAAATTTGATGGTTAAAATGGAGATAAATGAGTAAATGGGAGAATAAATGTAAATGGTGCCATAATTGTCTTAGGTATGGATTAAATTCACAGCAGAACTGTTGGCTTGAGGTAATTAAAAAAGTATTTAAGAGTTAGGAATTTTTTTTATCTTGTAAATATCACTCAGTGGGTTGATTTAATTATAAAAACAGAAGTTTTGCAATCAGCATTATCTCCCCCCATAATTTACTTCTGTTGGCATTTTAAAGAAGGGCACCAAGTTTATCCTGCTGGACAATTACCATAGAACTAGCCAGAGTTGGAAAGGAAAGTAGTTCTGACATTTGGTTAAACATACATACATAAAGACAATGGCCATGGGCATCCATTATAAAATAGAAGTCTAGGCATACTTTCATGGTCTGACACTGCTCATTTTCCACACATTGATGCTCTTGTAATTTAAAATGGTCAGGAGAAGGAAAGAGTAAAAAGGAAATAATAGCTGACTCTCCGAATCCCATAAAAAAATGAAGCTTAGATCTCCGAATGATTGTTGGTGACAAGAACACCAGTAAGAGTATAGCTTTAAAGATGCACCATTATCTTTAATTACTTGCTTAATATAAAAATATTTTTTGTGGAAAAGAGAAGGCATCCATTAAAAATTATGGCCTTTTAATAGATCTAAGCAAGTTAAATCTTTTTTAAGCCATTTAAACTTCAAAGATACCAGCAAAAAAATTTTTATTGATTGTTTAGTGTTATAATAAGCAATGTATTTTCTGTCATATTTATGACTTGGTACAGGATTCAGAGATATATACATCTCAGGGATAGGAAGGACTTTAAAAGCCATCTATTTCAATAGTGTATGTGCAATGTGTTTTTATGTTTTCTATTCTGTGTAAATTAGAATGCCATACCAGGCTTCTTCTTTTGTTCTCTCTCTCTCTCTCTCTCTCTCTCTCTCTCTCTCTCTCTCTCTCTCTCTCTCTCTCTTTCTCCATATACACATACAATTTCTATATCCATTATATTGTATTTGCTACAAAATTTTACTACTGTAAAGCATTATAGAAGTTTACACTTGAGGTTTATTTTCTGCCATATGACTTGGTCATGTATTTTATACCAAATCTTTGATTAGGAATAGACATCCAATTAGAGCAGTGGTTTTGTACATATTTCAGAATTTCATTTTATTGCCACAGTGATTTGCAACAGGCAGGGATGCCAGATGCCTTGCCAATGCACTTGACAATCTTGCTCAAAAAAGAATCATACTGCTTCTCATAAAATATTTGAATGACTCATCGGATTTGTATGTAAGTGTGTTTATAATTGTCTGAGTTCAGATTTAATTTCATTTTACTTATAAGCACAAAGTGTGTTTTCCACAGTTCTAGTATACTCTGAATTTTCCAGGAAGACAACTCATGTGAATTGACAGTGTTTTGCTTTAGTTTGCTAAGAACTTCTCCAAGAGATGCTCAGCATTTGAGAAAATGACATGCCCAAAGGCAGCACTGTTTGTGGCATTTAAGTTAAGAATACAAAACAGACATTCATTGTGCATGCAAGTTGTGCTGGTGCATTTCCATGACTCTAATTGTGGGTTCAAGCATCTGGATACTTTGATATGTCCTTTAATATGGTTTTGAAATGGTTTTTATATTGAAAAGTATATACTTTTACTTGTTATGAATATTCTTTTATCTCTTTTATTATTAAACTTATTGACCTTAGATATTATGTTGATTTTTAAATTATGTATATAGATAGGTTGTATTTCCCATAAATTTTAATCCATAGATGATATATAACTTGGTATGACTTATAATAGTTAAAAGGGCACTAACAAGACATAGTAATAAAATGAGGATTTGTGTTTGATACAGCTGAGAAGATCTGATATAGAAGGTGGTCCTCTGTGGGGTCTCACTATACCTTCTAACACAATTAGAATTATGGGCAATGCATTACTTCTGTGTCATTGTGCAGTAGTATTACCACAAACTTAGTGGCACATGTGTCATCTCACAGTGTCTTGGGTCAGGGTTTAGCTGGGATCTCTGAAAGGCTGCAGTCAAGGCATGACAAGGGCTACAGTCTAATCTGTAAGTTAGACTGTGGAAGAATCTGCTTCGTGCCCAATGGGGTCTTGTCAGAATGTCCTTCCCTGAGACTGTTGGACTTTGGACCTCAGTTCTTACTATTTGCTGTCTGTAGGCCCTGGGAACCTCTCCAATATGGCCACTTGCTTCAGTGTATCCACTAAGGGAGACAGTCTGTAAGCAGGACAGACATTGAAATCTTATGGAAGACAATCACTCAATTAACATCAGTATTATTGTATTCCATTGGTGAGAATCAAGTTACAGATCCTAGCCCTACTCACAGGCAGGGTTTTCCCCAAAGGCATAACTCTGAGAATACAGGGATAACTGGGGAACATTAAAAGGGTCTGTTTAACATAGCCAGCTTCCAGTGGCAGTGTTGGGTAGAGGGGATAAACTCTTTGGATGTAAGTGGTGGCTAATAGATTTTATAGTGTTAATTTTTATAGTATTATAGTGTAATTCTAAGGTTATTTTTCCTGTCATTTTGAAGCCCATTATACTCAGGGAAGAGGGAAAACTAGCCTACTAGAACAGAATCTGCTCACTTCTTAGATAACAACGTCCTTGCTAATTTCAGGTGTGTATATATGATGGGGCTTTCTATGGTGTTAGAGTACAGTGACACAGAAGTAAATTTTCTTAATTTCATGCATCTCAACGTTTTTTTCATCCAGATGACCCAGCTAGTTCCTGGGTTGTTTAAAGTTTGAGCCAGGGTCAGATCTGGAAGAGGGAGAGAACATTTTAAAAGCCCAGTATAGCCACTATGTAAGTATTTATTGAATATCTCATGTGCTTGTCATTGTTATATATACAGGCAGAGGCTGAGATTCTGCTGCCACAAAGTTTATGGTATATACTGGAATACATACATGTTGAGCTAATCTAAGGTCTGAAGTCACTATATTAGCCTTTGGGGGTCTTCTGTAAGAAGGGTGGAATAGTCTATGTGGGAAAAATATGGGTAGAACACATATTCTTTTGGAAGAACCCAGCTATTGATTAAAATTATACTTCTGCTCTGTGATGTTAGCTTACAAATACTACTGATTCTTTATTTCTGCAAGCAAAAAACTGGGTCTAACATCTTTACCTTACAGATTTTTTTTGTGATGATATTAAAAGCATCCAGTGCATATGGGTTTCAATGTGAAATCCCTTTATTCTTTCTCACCCTTCAATAAAGCGGACCATTATAAATTAACTATGCTATTTTGCTACTCAACCTGCTCCACAAAGTTATATAAAAGTAAAAAATGCCAAATATTTAAATAATCACATGGAATACAATCTCTTCAGTTATGTATGATTCATCTTTATTGTTGTCATTCTAAGGACTCACAATCATTCTCAAGAGTTTCTTCTTTATTACTTTACAATGGTAGCACATCCTAATTGCCCAGTGACACAAAAGACTTAAATGACTCAAAGGAGTATTTCTGCTTGATAGTATTAATAATACTATCTTTGAAAATACATGAATATACTTAGCCATTTTGAACTAATCTAAGATATGAAGTCACAAAGATCATGCTGGTGGAAGGATGGGCGGTGAGTGGAGTCCACAAACATGTATCAACTTAGAAAATTCACTGACTTATTTTTAATGCTAATTCATTCATTCAAAACACTTCTAGGTTTCTGTTCCAGGTTCTGAGTACTGGGAGAATACTTAAAGATTATGCATGTAATGTTTGATAAATCCAGATGATAAATTTCTCTGGGGAAGTGTGACTGTTTTTAGAGGTCATCCTTTTATCTGAAGAAAAAGCAGAGGAGCCCAATTAAGTAATTTTATTCATTAGAACTTGTGCAATAATTTCTACTTTTTCTTTCAGTAGGCAGTGAGGAAAGTAGGTTAATATGAAATGAAATATTCTTATATCCTGCTGTTCGGTAGGTCAGAGGGTATTGTAAACGTCACTTAACATCTCTGTTGTTTTGAAATTCCCATTTTCCATGACATAAATTCTTTGATATAAAGAAATTCTATTCATTACAGGAATGCTTTACAATTTAAACTTGTATTTAAATGCCTTACAAGTTATTTTTGACTATAGGGACTCTGTAGAATTTGTGATTCAGTATTTCTTGGCATCTTTGTTGGGTGTGTATTTAATTTGTCTCTATGCCTGTCTCTCTTGTTAGCTTATGGTCCCTTGAGAGAGAGGTCCTCAGTTTGTCATTTACCAGTTGATCAGTAAGTGATTTCTTAGTTATTACTTAGATTTTGAGAATTAAAAGACTCCTTTTTCCTATTGATACCTGACAGATTTTTACATTCACATAGTAATAATATATCATCTTGGTTTTTGTTTCTTTGAAATATGAGGAATGCTTTCCTGCAAATTTCAAGGGCAGCCCATTTGGCCCTAGCAATTATTTCTTTTGAGATCTTGTGCAAAATAAACTTCAGTATTTTGATACCTTTTGGGCCTTTAAGGGAGTAATACATAAAGTAAGCTACAAGTCAAAGAAATTGTGAAAACTCTCTTTAGGAATAAATGTGGTAGTTATAGTTCTTGAAGTGTTCTAACCAAAGAGCCAACAATCATCCCTAATCTCTGATAGAGAAAGCAGCTCCCAGAGGGAAGCTTATGTGTGCCACTGCAGCCTGACCCAGAGCCAGGGCTCTACCTGAGCTTCGGTTCCCACGACACCTTAATGCGCTTTCCTGTTTTCCCACCTCCAAGCCAGTGATCACTCCCTTCTTTCTGCCTATACTTCCTGTCCTAATTGCATTAAGTTAGTTATCTGTGAAGTATACCTGAAAATATCAAGAACACCTTAAGCTCATCTGAAGCACCTAGCATATGGGGGTAGTCATGTATTTATTTTATATTTTCCCAATTTATGACTTACTTATTTAATTCTTTATCATTTCTCATGGAATGCATAGATTGGCCATTACATTTACTCAGTTTTGTGTGTATTTGGGATAATGCAGTTGACATTTTTTTCTTCCATTGTCTTAGGAAGTCAATGATACCATTGAAGAGAACCAAAAAGAAGACAAGACTGAGGACTGTAGCAGGAATTGCTAAAAGGAAGGAAATAGAGTATAAATGAGAAATGGGGCTTTTATGAAGTAATTTTAGAATAACTATACCTTTGTGAAGTGTGCCACTTTACCACCTTATTTACCAAAGCTTGGAGGATATGGAGTTTTTTGGTGATCTAATCTCCAAGTAAATAAGGAACAAATAAAAAGAAATTATGTCTTTCTTTCTAAAATATGTTGTCAGCAACTGAATTTAATGCAACCAATAGATGCAGATTCTTGCAGCACAGTGTGATTTTGATAAGCTCCAACTAAGTATCAAGTCAGAAATGGACATCACATGCTATGAAGTTATCCATTCTAAACAAATGAATTTAAGATAATTGGCTTCTAAATATTTTTAGGTATCTCAGAAGGTAGAGTTGTGGGAAGAACAATGCAGTAATTGAATGGATTCTGAAGAATATGATAGTAGAAAAATAATATGGAATGTAAGGACATAAGATCCCATTGTTTATAAAATAGATTTAGATACAGAGGAGATCATGGTGTGGAAAACCTTCAGAACCACTGCATAATAAAAAATCCTCACAGCCAAATTTTAAGCGATTTTTTTTGTTATAAAGAGAGTTGACTTAATAAATTCCTGCTGAGAATTTGATTTATTCAATTAAACATCCATATTCATTTTGAGAGAAAAGATGATGCCCACAGGTTCACCCTACATTGGCAAATATGTATTATGAATAGGTAAGGACAGAAGTGCCAATAAGGAGCAGGAGACCATTTTTATCATCAGCATCCAGAGTCATGCCTATCAGCAGAGTCACCTGGGTAGTCATGCTCTGACCTTTGCAAGTCCCAGGAAAACTCAAGTCTTTCTTATGCCACTCTGCTTTGTAGTTGAAACATATTAAATAAATTTACCAAACATATTTCCTAGTTTTTGTTCCCAAACTGACATCAAATTCCTGGGCTCAAGTGATTCTCTTGCTTCAGTCTCCTGAGTAGCTGAAACAACAGGTGTGTGCCATTCTGCTCTGGATCCTACAAAGCAGATTTTCAATACGCCTTTATATTATTCAGTGTTCTTGAATTTCTGAGATGATAAATTAGGGCTAATTTGTTAAGAGTAGAAAGTCATACCCACAGTATCATCTGGTTGAGCTGGACTTGGAGCATATACCAATAGAGAGGATATACCTAGAAACTTGACTGGTTATTTGAAATAATAAACATAGTTTCATTAGTAAATGTAATTTTTTTGGCTTGGGAGATGAGTAATAATTAGTGAGAAAGTAAATATCAAATATTCATTTATATTCCTCAGGAAGGCAGAATATTAAAATTTTTTCCAAGTCTGGACTTAATTGAACAGCTGTGCCAACCTTAATTTAGCATCACTTGGGGACTACCAAAAATAATAGTGTGGAAGAATATTTTAAGGTTTTGATTTTGTGGCAGAAGAAAAATATTCTCATTACTAATGGTATGGAAAATGTAGAAACTTAGAGTGAAGTAAATAACTACCCACTATTTAATCTCCAGAGATGATCATTGACAACAATTTACTATATTTTCTTCCAGCTTTATTGCTTACATAATTAAATATAGGTATTTATGTCTTAAATATATGTGAAATAATTTTTTGTGTGATTACAAAATAAATTCAAGTTCAATTTTTGAGAAGCGTAAGGAAACTATGAGAAATGCATAGAACATTAGATTTCTAGAAAACAGTAGAAACATTTGAAGCTACTGACAATTGAGCTTCATAAATGAGTAAGAACATCAGCTCCAGCCGTAAATTAATTGGATTCCTTTGAATGTGTGTTACATGTGTATCCCACAACTAACTCTGGAGTCATCTTTTAAAGAGAGGCCTCAGATATATTCTGAGTGGGAGCAGCATTCTAATAGGTGGTTGGTGTGAAATAGGCATCATCAATGACTTGCATGTCTGCTCTGGGCCACTGTTCTTGGCTCTGGAAAGCCAATGCAATGAGAAACCTATCACCAAGCTTTTGGCTCTTCTTGTTGGAAGAAGACTGTTCACCCTAAACAAAAAACTCAGACCTCAGTGGGCTTTTCTTTCTGCTGTGGATTCCATGGAGATATTCTGGGTCTAGTGAATCACAGTCCCACCTCTTGGATTTTCATTCTCTCTGACTCATTTCTGCACAATAGTTTGCCTCTTTTCCTATCATGGAAATCACTTAGGAGAGACATCCATATTTTGTTGGGTTTAAACCTGCTTAGGAAAGAAAAGTTAATCAGCAAACAGATTTCTTTGGTGTGTTCCATATAATTTTAGGAGGACTCCTGTTGGCTACTTTTATCTGTAACTCCTGTTACAGAGAAGGCTGAAAGTAAGCCTCCAGATGAGTGAGATAGCAGACCATTTTCCCATGATACAGCCCCACAATTTGTGAGACAAAATTAATGACAATCATCCACAGGAGATAAGACAAAGACAGACTTAATGTAAAGCATTTTAGAAGGTTTCAGGTCTTCATGGAATGTTGGGGAGCAGGAGGGAGAGACAATGCAGCCCTATATAATGAATACATTAGATAATTTAAATTTTCAATTATCATTATTTGGATTTTATTCCCCAACTTGGGGATACATATTTAGGGGTGGTGTGAATATTAGGTAGAGTGGAAATCATTGAACCCTTAGTTGAAAGCTACCCCAGTTTCTGGCTTGCCCTCTAATTATACATGTAGAAAAGATCACTACCAGCAGTGCTAGCAATAAGGACAGAGATGTTTGAGACAAAATTAAGAGGGTAGCCCAGAAATTGGAGCAGTCCTAAGTTGAATCTTCAAAATGATTAAGTTCTAGAAAATATGAATTCTGAGACGTTAGGGCTTTTGGGTCATGTTAATGATGGGAGTCAAATATGTGAAAGATTGTTATTGGGAGGATGCTGACCATTTTCTCTCAACTATACTGGGGATAGAAATAGATATAGATATAAAATAGCAGTGTATGGAATTTAGATTAGATAAAGAAAGTATGTTCTGATAATCACACTTGTTAAATGTTAGAATATATATCCCAAGTAGGTTGTCAAATCATTCCACTGAAATTATTTTAATCATTTGTATTTAGATATATCAGGATAATGAACACACACATATAAATATTAGGAAATATATATTTATGTGTATGTTTACATGTGCATACATGCACACACACAAGCTAAAAGATAGACTGTTGACCTCAATAGCCTTACTAAGAGTGTTCTTTTATTATTTTGGAACTCACAATCAAGTGCCTTTTAGATACTGTTGTAGAAGGCTTAAGAATGTGAACAATAGCCTGAAGCACTGGACGGTATTAGTCACAAGTTTTACCCTATGTCAATACAGAAGGGGTTGAAGTTTGGCAGAAGAAAAGATAATAGGCAGTGTTAAACCTTCTTTCTTTATTTTCCAAATTAGGACAGTTTGGAAGTTCACCATTTCCAATTTTTTTTTCTTTTGTTGACTGCAAAGAACGTCAAGCCAACAGCATGTTGCTGAGAGCAGCGATGCATTTCACCACACTGACAACTGTCGGCTGGGCTTTTTGAGACTCCCAGGATTCTGAACTGTCTTCTCTTGTATAGGTCAGTGAAATTTTTTCTTCATTTTTTTATTTAAAAAGCAAACCAGGCCAACTACTTTTCAAATATTTACACCTTGTAAGTGGATAAAACTCCCAAATCTTTTTTTCTCAACAAAAAGGAAAACAATCAGCAACAATAATCTATCAAAAGATAGTTTAAAAAGTTCTTAGATGCCCTAGGATCTTTTGGTAGGACATTTTATATATTCCTATCATTAATAAGTCTGTTATCTGCATTTTGTGTCTCTTTCCCACTGCTAAAAATTCCTTTTAGACTAACATTCATACTTCCTTCTGATGAAAAACATTAAAATGTGTGTAGAATATAAGAGGAAACCCCAAAGCTCTGTATTTATACAAAGAGACTCAAGAGTATTGGTTTATTACAGTGAAACATTTCATGTTATTCCATTTCATATTCTTTCCAAAGGGAAAGCCTAGCCACAATAAATAGATGCCACAAAATTATAATAAAATGAAATGTTTAATAGTTGAAGTATAAGGCCTTATTATGATTATCTTAACTTGTAATAATACAACAAGAGCTAAAAAAAAAATCTATGGGTATCTTCAACCATTCCTCAGTTTAAACAAGAAGCCTAGACCTAGAAAAGAGCATCATTTCCCAATTTATACAAATTCAGCATCTTTTTATAACATTATTCTAACTTGATTGTATTTAGAAGATTTTATTCCTCCACATAGATTGCTGTCACTTTTCTAAAATTAGTTTGTAGGTAGGTACACCCTTTATTAAGAGAACTTACTAACCACATAGTCTTAATTTGAAAAAAAATAAAAAGAAAAGTTTTCAAGTTCAAGTTCATGGACTGAGTTAAACATGTGTCTACTTTTCCTTCCTGAATTTCATTGAAATTGCAGTAAAGGCAGAGAAAAGAATGTATTTCTGAACATAATAAGAAACCTATTCTGAAAGCTGAAACAGGAAGAAGTGGCTTTTGATAAAGCTGAGGAGGCTTCAGGGAGGAGTTGGTCTGTGCATTCAGGTCAGCAGGTGTAGCAAGGGCAGGCTTACAAAGCTGAAAAACGGAAATCAAAGTGTTGACTACAAGTCTAAAGAAGGGCTCAGGTTGAGATGTTTCCACACCCATGCATGTAACTAGAGCTCTTACCCACAGAAGTAAAGCAGGAGACTCTCTCAGAGGAATCTACATAATTTGCATATGAGGCCTACACTTTCTAGTATGTTGGCTGGTAACCAAGCTTAACACTGTACCCTGGTTCTGGCAGTTGAAGAGACCCTTGCTGGTTTACGAATTCATGTATAAGACCTAAAGCAAAGCACATCATGGAGAAAAAGTCTGGGAAGTAATAGACAGATTGCCAACAACTTGCATCAGTCAGCCCAATCATTCATACACTGGACAACAGAAACCAGCAATAGAAAATAAAAAATCAAAGTAAACAAGCCTAGGACAGAATTTCTCAACCTTTGCACTATGGAGTTTATGGATTAGATTTTTTTTTATTGTTATGGAGAGGTGTTCTGTATATTGTAGGATGTTTAGCAGCATTTTTGGCCTCTATCCAGGAGATGCCAGCAGCAAGCAATGCCACACTGTACAAAATGAGACAAAGATGCCTCAATATTTAGACAAAGATGTTGCCAAATCCCCTGAGGGACAAAATCAGCACTGGTTGCTAGCCATTATTCTAGAGGAAATAGGAGAGATTTATCAAAGAGATATTTTAAAAATATCCAAATTGATATCCTCAGAGATATTAAAGAAATTATAATCTCTAAAACAAAATTTTTCTGATATGAAAATGGAAAAAAAGAAAATGGAGACATCAAAATATAGAAACAATTAATAGAATGTTAAAGTATAATTAACAAAATTTTGCAAAAAAAGAAATAAATTCAAGGATGTTTTCCAGAAGGAAAAGGAAAATAAAGTAAAATATGAGAAAAGAAACAAAGAGAATCAATTTAGGAAGCCAAATTTTGTTTAACATGAGTTCTAAAAATCAAAGACAAAGAAGAAAAAATAATCTTGACATTTTCTAGAGTTGAAAAAAATGCACATGTCCTCAGTATGAAGGGGTAAAAATCATATTGAGAACGCTGAGTAATAAGGGACCCACAACCAGACATATTCCAATGGTATTTTAGAATATCACAGCTAATGAGAATATCCTAAGGTTCTTTTCACTAGTGCATAATAATTTTACAGAGAAGTGGCATAAATAATTTCAACCCCCAGTATCTTCCCTTGCCCTAAAAGTTTTGAAAAAGAAAAACATAAATAGACTTTCTGTCATGGGAATATAAATACTCAGGTTTTCAGTCTACATCTCAAAATGTCATAAGGTAGTGGAACAGTGTCCTCAAAATGAAGACAGAAGCAAACCCAGTATAGGTGGTCCCTGATTTATGGTGGTTCCATAGTGCAGAAATGATGCCCATTCAGTAGAGACCCTAATTTGATTTTGAATTTGATCTTTTCCCAGGCTAGTGCTATATCCTAAATGATCCTCCCTAGGGGTGCTATTGCAGTGGCAGCTTTGGCAGCTCCCTGGCAGCCAAAGGATCACAAGGGGTAACAATTGATGTTCTAGAGTGCACTGGTTGCTAAGCTGTGGTGTTTGGTAGGTTACGTGTATAAATTCACTTTTGTGTTGCAATGTGTTTATCAGGTTATAATACCATTAAGTCAAAGAGCATTTGTGCCACGTGAAATCAGGAACTCAGAAATAGACCCAAATAAATACATGCTCAAGTGACTTTTGACAAAGATACAGAAGCCCAGAAAAAAAGATTACATTTCCAATAAATGGTGTGGACTTCCAATGGCAAAACAAAAACAAAAAACGTCTTTACCTGAGTCTTCCACCTTATATAAAATCAAACTCAAAATAGATCACTGACTTAAGTGTAAAATATGATACTCTAAATACCTTCACAAAAAATCAAGAGAAAAAAATTTTCCTGATCTATGGCTGTCCAAGGAATAGTATAATACTTGTATAGAAAAACAAATAGATTGTGTTTCATAAAGTTTTAAAAAAAATGCCCTCTAAAAGACCCTTGGAAAGGGTGAATAGATAAACTACATATTTGGAAAAAATATTTACAACCACATGGTTGACCTAGGACTAGTATTTCCAAACTCAAGAGTAAACTAAAACCATTAAAAATATGTTTAGAAAATGGGCAAAACACAAAAGGTAATATTTCACCAAGAGGATTTATAGGTGGTTAAGAAGTACATTAAAAGATACTAAAATTGTTAGACTTTAGGGAAATGTAAATTAAACCCACATGCCCATCAGAATGGCTAAAATAAAAAAGATGAGTGACAAAACCAAATGCTGGCAATGATGGGGAAAAACTGGATCACTCATACATTGCTGGTGGAATATAAAATGGTATAGACACTCTGGAAAAAAGTTTGTCAATTTATAAAAAATACTAAATGTTAAGCTGCCATATAACTCGGCAATTGCATCCCTATTCCAGAGAAATGAAAAGCTATGTTCACATGAAAACTTGTATACAAATGTTCATATTCCAGTAACTCTATTTATAATAGCTGCTAACTATAAACAGCCCTGATGTCCTCCAACGAGTAAATGGGTAAGCACATGGTGATATATTGATATCATGGAAGAGTACTCAGATAAAAAAGAACTGGCTATTGTTACAGGCAGTGATTAGGATGAGTTGCCCTGTGGTGAGAGAATTACCCCGACAGAGAAAATGAGAAAGGCCAGTCCCCAAAGCTTATAACATGTATAATTGCATTTTTGTAACATTTCTGAAACAGCAAGAGTAAAGAAATGCCAAACATACTTGTGGTTGCCAGGGATTAGGTAAAGGATGGCAGAGGGAGGGAGGGAGTTGTGGTTATAAAAATGCAACATGAGGAATTGACGGTAAGAATGTCAGTCTCTTGAATATGATAGCATATTAGTTTTATAAGATGCTTCATTGGAGCAACTGGGTAAGGGATGCATGAGATGTATGTTATTTGTTACAATGGCCTATGAAGCTATAATTATCTCAAAATGAAAAGTTTAATTTAAAAATTTAATACTGCTTTATTTCATCATTTATCATTCTGCTCTTAGTTTAAATAGCAATTTCAGGATGCTCTACATAAGGAATCTGTCAGCCACTGAAAACATTTCAGTTATCTATCTTGCCTTCTTTCAAAGTTCTTGTTTGGGTTCTGTTTTAGTGATCTCTTAGAAAAAAAATAATACTAATGTAAATTCTGGTTCTCTTCCCTAATTTAGGGTAACTTTACAATATCTGCAGATAATTTGACATATACATGCATAAAAATAATGTGAAATTCTTGCATAAAAGTACAGTAGTTTACAGGCAAAGTAGTTAATATATAAGTAAATAAGTTCTTTGATAAAAAAAATTCACATTGAATTCAGATAAAAAACAAAATAAATTTAACATAAAAAGCACCACTTGTATCAAAAATTGAAAACGTTTTTCCATTTCTCTCTAGGGATTGGGAAATGCCCCTTTATTTTTCTCTTGTGTTGCTATGTAACATTTAATTACTGGATCTCTAGCAGTCATGTAGATATAGAAAGTGTTAAAAGGCAAACTTCTAATAAATTTTATAGTTTATCACTGCCTCCCTGGAAAACACAATTCAGGAATGATATGAGTTTCTCTTAAATTAACAATTTATCCAATGTACTTCAACTGAACTTCTATAAAACTTTTTATTATGGAATTTGTTTTGGAATACACACTTATATAAAATTTACTTGAAATAATTGTTAATTTCTGGTAAATAGAATATTTTTGGTACAATAAAAATTCCCACAAGTAATATTTTCTTTTGTACTGGGGATTGACCCAGCAGTACTTAACCAGTGAGCCACATCCCCAGACCTTTTTTATTCTTTAGTTTAAGACAGGATCTCACTAAGTTGCTTCTGATTTTGAACTTGTGATCCTCCTGCCTCAGGCTTCCCAAGCCACTGGAATTGTAGGCATGTGCCACTGTGCCT